TTCCACTACATTCACTAAGCTAATGGAAAATTCCCTTGCAAAGTGAACAGCCTGTTTGCCTTTAGTAAGTCAACCCCTAGACTTCCCATTGCAATAAATAAAGGCCTGAGTGTGTGTTTGCAGATAGTACATTTAATAATTCAGAGGCTTTTGGGACAAAGGCCGCGTGACAGTGGGAAAACTGCACTTCAAAGATATTTAAACAGAGGGGTTTTGAGTAAATGTTATTTATTACGAAAGAGCTGGAGAAGAGAAGAAGGGGCAGAAAAAATAAGTGCATCATCTTTTAGAGAAATTTTGACATGACTGTAGCAATCCACTACAAAGAGATTTGTATATGACTCTGCTTCAGTAACAGTGGCGCACTGGAGTGCCACTCATTCCCTGCCCACAAAAAAGAAATAGTTGCAGGTCCTGCTTTAATCCCACTGTAGTTTGTTGGTAGCCCCCCTTGAACTAAACATGTTAATGTGCTAAATCCAGCAAGATGGTGACAACTCAGCCAGGCAGGTTTTATGCCTCTATGCTTTATGACAGCTTCCTTCTTCCCATGTCAATAGTTGTTAAGGAAGCAGCATATTCCCAAGGACAGTGTTCAGCCCCCATACCACTTGTTTGACGTTCCTCAGCCTATTTGCTGAGTAGATTGCCATTATTGATTTCTAAGATTTGTCTCCTAATGACTTCACTTGGATTCTGATTCAGCACTCAAACTTCAAAGACATTTGGCTCATCACTACTGACCACTACTGAATGGAACTCCTTTTCCCATTATGTAGCATGGTTTTGTGACAGTGACATATTAGGATGAATTTACTAAGGACACCATTCACACCAGGCCATTGAAAGCTGACATCTTTTTCAGCATATTGTATTTGAATAGGTAAACATTAGAGTAAAAGCCTAGTCAAAGCCGTTATGTGAATTCCATTAATATGGAGCAATTAAAAATTAAAACAGGCAGTTCATGCAAAGAACACCACATACACCATGCAAATGAAGACATTTTGTATGGAGAAGACAAAAATTTCACTGAGTGGATGACAGAGACTGCTGGGCAAAAACTACCTATCCTATTGCCTATTCTGCAGCTGGATAGGTCAGCCACTTTAACCAAGGAAAACCAAGGAATTACAGATTTGTCAGGCCTCTGATATGTGTGGCCCTAAAACCACTTTGTCATACAGGACCATCATGCAGAGCTAGTCTTCATATACTACATCCACACCCAGCTGTCCTCGATACCATCTACACATGGAAACACCCTCAGCTTAAAAGGTCAATCATACATCATCCAGCCCTTTTCCAGCCTTACACCAACACCACCACAGCTGGCTATCTTTAGCCACATCAGCACTCTCTCTTGGCTCTGAGGTCACCCTTACCCCCCCCCCCCCCCGTACCCTCATCTGCTATGGCTCTGTAACCACCTTTACCTTACACACGCACCTCTGGGCACACATACCCACAACACCAACTTAAGTGTGATTGGCTCATCATTACTGACCAGTAATGAATGGGGCCCCTTTTCCCTTTATGTGGTATGCTTATGTGACAGTGAAATATAAGAGTTGATTCAATAAGGCCATACCATTCACCCCAGGCCATTGGAATCTGGTGTCTTTTTCAACACTTCAAAAGGCAAATATTAGACTCAGTTGCTTGTCAAAGCCCTTATTTGAAACCCATTAAAATGTTTCTGTGGCTCTGTGACCACCTTTACTATAGCCCCACCTCTGGCCACACTTACCCAGAGTGCCAACCTGAGTATGTTTGGCTCATCATTACTGACCAGTAATGCAAATGGGGCATTTCCCTCTATGTTGTATGCATATGTGAGTGACATAAAGGGTAATTCAATAAGGATGCCATTCACACTAGGCCATTGAAATCTTTTGTCTTTTTAAACACATTTCAATAGGCAAACATTAGAGTCAATGCATTGCTAAAGCTCTTATTTGAAACCCATAACAATGTTGTTGATGGATTTAAAATGGGCAGTTCATGCAGAGAATCCCACATACATCCTAACTTAAGGTATTTTGCATGGAAATGGAGCGTTCAAGAATTTTACTGAAAGGATGTCAGACTAATGTCAGACTTTTACTGAATGGATGTCAGACTAGTGGTCAACAATCTGCAGAAAAAATCAATAGCAGATTTTGAGGTCAGGTGTATACTTTATCCACAGTGTGCCATGCTGTCTGGGGAAGAGAATGTGATGATGCAGGCTTTGTAAGCCAGGTAATTACAGCCTCTGCATTGTGTGGCTGGATAGGTCAGTCACTCTATGCAAGAAAAAGCAGAAGTTTTTGGGCTCTTCTGTCTTGGGCCTTAAAACCATTTTGTTGTGCAGGACCATCACATGGAGCCGTTCCCCACATACTACATCCCCAATACCATCTTTACCTGGAAATACTCTAACCTTAAAAAGGTCACGAACACATAACTCAACCCTTTGTCAACCTTACCTCCAATACCACCCGTAGCTGGCTATCTTTGACCACAACTACCCTTACCCAGAACACCCACCCTCTACTGGTCACTCTTACCCACAATACCATCCTCTTCTGCAATAGTTCCATGGCCACCCTTACCCAGCATCCTAACCCACAACAACACTGTGCTCTGGTCATCCTTGTCTACAAGACCACCTTTGTCTTTCCAGCATTATCCCCAGTTGGCCACCAGTTCCTCAACACCACTTGAATCAGACCACCCAATGTTAACCCATACAATACCATCACCCACATCGGTAAGGTCCTCAGTTACATTCTGTAACTATTACAGCACAGACAACAACACCCATGGTAAAAGCATGAAGCCGCAAGGCCACCTTGCATTTTAGATTTCTGACAATGGAGTTCAAAGGGGTTCAGATTTGAAACCCGAACTTTATTAATGTTTAGTGAACCTATGCATAGGTTTATGTTATGTTATAGCTTCACAGTAGGCAAGGTGTTCTTTTTCATCATAGGCCTTGTTCTTCCTCCTCCAAAACATAGCGTTGATCCATGGGGGCCCAAACAGTTCTAATTTTGTTTCATCAGTCCACAGAACATCACACAGCTTTTTTGGCATACTGCAGTTTGGCTCATCACTACTGACCATTAATGAATGGGGTCCCTTTCTTAGCTATGTGATATGGACATTGCTTTTATATCAGTCATCTTGCAGTGACATTCACACCAAGCCATGAAAAACTGTTGTCTTCTCAGTTTTATTCAACAGTCGATATTTCAACAGGCAAACTTTAAGAGCCGTGAAAAGCCCAAGTGTCTTATTTAAATCCCATTAAAATGCTGTGAAGGGATTTAAAATGGGCAGTTTATCTGGTGTTTGTAACCACACCAGTAAATGTCTAGAAAAAAATTTCCCAACATACATCATGCAACTGAAAGTATTTTGCATGGTGGTGAACCTCTGGAATCAAAAATTTTATTGAGTGGATGTAAGAGACAGGAATTATAGCAATAAGATTTCACAGCTAGAGTAGTCAAGACATGCCAGGGGCAGAATCAAGTCTCTAGGTTCCCCTCTTTTTTAGAAATATCATATCTGGGTACACTCTCCCTCAAAATAGACTATTAGATAGCATTGTTTAAGCATATGAATTCTAAAAATATTCTATTACAAAATCATTATTTAATATGAAGGTTCTACCAGTAATTATTAAGAACCATTTACTACTGTATTACATAAACAATTGATGTCATTTTAGTTGCATTTGGGTAGTTACAACGTCCTTGTAGGATTTGATTCTGAATACATATCTACTAAATTTAAGCTCATCTGTACCATATACTGTAGTCCTACTATAATCTGAGATGGCAATGTATTTATGTAAAAATCACAGATATAGCAAACAGGATGGGGGTGGTAAAAACATAGTTTTTTTACCAGCTCCCCATTAAGTTGCAAGGACAGCAATAAAGGCAGCACACAGGCTGTGGCCATAATGCTTTACATCACAGCATGGCAAAAAGTATTCCCCTGTCACCTTTGGTGGGCAGTACTGAACTGAATGAGGCCGTGCGGTGGTGCAGCTTTTTAGGGTTTAAAACAGGCAGCGTTATCAATTTATCTTCTAATAACCCATCTTTTAAATAAGTGAAATATACCGTATAAGCTTTAGTTCAATATTTATTTTACAAATATGCCCCAAAAATAACATAATAGATCAACAAAAATATGAAAAAGCTAAGACAGTCAAAACATACAAATAAACAAAGTAATATGCAACAAACAAGACTTTCTGCTGGATACAGACTTACTGGCTGGATGACAGTAGCCAGTATTAAATGCCAAGTATTGTGTTGCACTGGGATTACAAGAAAAATACATGTAATACTGTCACAAAACATCCCAGTGTGTAGTATTAAAACTCTTGTTAGAAATAAGTAAAACATAGTGTTTCCATCATTCTTACACCAGTATCACAAAAACACACATATAAAATGCAGACATCTTTGCATGGATCTAAAGCACAACATTTTTAGTCCTGTTTGTATGGCCCATTTTTAGTCCTTGTTGTATGGCCCATTTTTAGTCCTATTTGTATGGCCAAGATAAAATGCATAAAGGTAAACCATTGCATTTCTATTCCTTTTACAAACACTGACAAAATACAGATTCTCCTTCACTTTGAGAGCCCTTGACATTAACACAGACTATTTCCAGTTCAGGCCAGTGGATTACATGATATATGCCTATATCTGGAAACCAGAGGTCTTATTTTGTAAACCATGCAGATAAATACATAACAATCTGCTTTACAGAGGATGGTACTTTGATGTGGATACCTGGGTAGCCTCTCATTTGTGTTACTCAATGAACTCTACAAACTCATAGTACATCACACTGCACAGCTATAGAGAACTGCCAGCACAAGCCTCACCTTCTGTATTTATGCATTCTGTAATGCTTAGCTATAATTGCTGACACGTACCATTGTACATGGTCAACATCAATTACTATCACTCTTTTTCAGATCTCCAGGCTCAGTCATTTGTCTCCAAACTAGTGATATTTTCAGTCTCTGGCACACTTGCAGAATTATCTTCAGCATCAGAGGCATGAGTCTGCACTGACATTTCGTATGAGGGTGGGGGGTCTTCACATAAAAAGGTTTCATCCACAACATCCATGGTTGTCTCTGTGTACAGAGGAGGAGGTATGTTGAATCCTTGTTCACCCACATAAATACAAGAATGTGCACTGGGATGCAGGACAGTATGATGAAGAGCTGTTTCATATGATGGAGGGTAGAAATCTGGCCTGGAAAACAAAAGTAAGCCAAGTTGGTGACACTAACTCATGAAAGGTAAGACAAACAGATTTTTAAAACTGGTACAGGAATATATCATACAAATTAAGCAATGGCATAAGAGAAGAAGCTGTTATTTTCTACCCAAGCCCAGCAAGCATTTATTAAAGAGAATCTGTCTGGTTGTTACTTGACTTGACACACCTCTGGCTCTTATGAAGCATTAAAGGCTGGCTTTGATCAACTCCTGTAAGTAGTGCTATTTCCATGTCAGAACACACCTCTGCAACATGTAATGTCAAAGAGTTAGCATTGTTTACAGAAGTCTACAATTTACAACTGCCCTGACAGGTTCCCTTTAATGTTCCCCCTAATTAATCACATTATCAACATTTAAGGTGCTAACTGCAAACCAGAGCTCATGACACATTCCTAATATATAGCAATGTTCTATTTATAGATTGCAGTGACTGAAAGTTATTATTTAAATTATCACACATTTTCAGCTTGCCTTAAATTCCTACAATTATGAACTGAAAATAACTGCTACAATCCAACTGACTGATGTAGAAGGAACCATCACCTATTCATGAACTTGTACAATTTGACCAAAGAATGCACTGGGTTAAGTACAAGTGTTCTGTTCAATTCAACTCCGGTCTGCTCATACATGTACATTATCTAGGTACAATTTCCATGAATTAAACATTGTGCTGTTCACATATCTTGTATCACTACTGATAAATTGTGATAGAAATAGCATCCTCAAACCCATGGTAAAATGGCTCTCCCTCCATTTAAGTTCATTGGTGCAAACAGAATTATTGCAAAATATATGAAGAGGTATATTAAAACATCTTTTGCAATCAGTTGGGTACAAATTTGCTGTAAATGAATGTTATCCTGCATGAATATGAATGGCAAAAGGAGTAGGGCCAAGTGCTTGAGCATCACCCAAAGCACACTCTACTATTAATTACTACTAATCATTCCAGGTGCAAAGAGATAAATGACGTTATGCAGTTTTTGGTCTATGCACTATTTTGACAATGCTGTGTAGTCAGTTTTTATTTTCTCTTTTTTTATACATGCTTTACTTTTTAAATGCATGCTATGCGTTGCAAAGGTATTCTGCAGTGACATCAAAAATTGAGAGTTAAAAGTGAAACTAAATACTATACCTGTCTACTGTCTCAATATGTACTTGCTGCTGGCTATGAATTCGTCTAATCATGGTTTGGAAGAGACTCTTGTGGTTGGCCTCATGATAAGTGCTCCAAAAAATCCCACTCAGGAGAAGCAGAAATCCGAGTGGCATGAGCGTGTATGCCACAACTGTTTCATGTCTGCAGTTACAGGAGTAGCTAGAAGATATAAAGAAAGCTCCAAGGCAGACAAGAGAGAAGCCCAACACAAGGAGCGAGAATCGGAGTATTGTGTACATATTTGTTTTCATCTCCATGATTGGATGCTGCAAGTGTCTACTGCTCCCTCTCATCCAGCAGTTTTATATGGCACAATGACACCTGCCCTTTGGATAATGATTGAAGACAGCCGTATGTGTGATATTCATTAACCATGGGAAAGCAGCATTCCAAGTTATACTTCCTGTGGCTACACAACTAACACATATTCACCAGCCATGTTCAAGCATTACACAATCACTTGTTTTGAAGTGTGACATAAGCATACCTTCATTTCAATTGGAATGAAAAGAAAGCTGTTTTTTAAAATACAGTTTATATCTACAACACAACTATGCTAACCCATTCAGTTTATGTAGCAATAAAGCTGTTTGTTTTTTAACCTATAGACAGCTCAGAACAAAGGTCTGGTTAAGTAAAGGTAATCCCACAGAACTTGAATCATTAAAACACCCAGTATAGGCAGCACAAGTACAAATGCTCTAGTGCTATAACATGTATACATAAATGATCCAAATAAATAAATAAAAGACCAATTCATAGAAGTGAAAACCAAAAGTTTGCTGTGAATTCCATATATAAGGCCACCATATAACTGTGTGTAAGTCCTTCTTTTCAACTAACCACCATGTGATTGAATAAACCATCCACAAGTGTAAGCAATCAGTAAAACCCCACTCCAGTGACACCACTTGCTCCAAACAGATCACCCCCAATCCAGTGGCACTCATAAGATATTATGGCTTATCTAACATTGATAAGCCACAGCGCTTGTGGTGAATATCACTCACGATTATACTTCTTCCTCCATAATGGCTGTGCCCATTAGTAATCAAATGCTCATGTAATTGTAGGAAATCCTCTATAAAGATCACTCCGCCACAGGAAAGGAAATAAGGAAAAGCCAATAGCGTAATACTGCAAAAAAAAAAAATGTATATTTTAAAACCAGTAACATACTCACAAAGTTATAGTTATTGCATGCCCAACATCAATATTGAAATGGTGTGGTGTATCACGTTTGCAGTGTCTCGCTCGACGCTAGGCGGTTAGCGAGAATGGTCGAGTGAGACACTGCAAACGCATTACACCACACCATTTGCGGGAATATATTGGGCATGCAATAACAATAATTTTGCAAGTATGTTACTTGTGTTATAATAGTTTTTTAGAGGTATTACGCTATTGGCTTTTCCTTATTGCCTTTCCTGTGGCGGAGTGATCTTTATAGAGGATTTCCTACCATTACACGAGCATGTGATTACTGATGGGCACAGCCATTATGGAGGAAGAACTATAATCATTAGTGGTGCACAAAAAGAAAAGTCTGGTCCCGAAAACGAAAATTTAAGATGCAATTGGCCGAAAACTGAAACTGAAATGGGCAGTTTTTAAAAATTAATATATATTTTTTGGAACAAAATACACTTTGATTAAAAAAACAAACAAAAACACAATATATACCCAATTTTTTTTGTAAAATATGAAAGAAGATGTTACGGCAAGTAAATAGATACCGAACATGTCACGCTTTAAAATTGCTCATGGAATGGTGTCAAACTATGGTACTTAAAATCTCCATGGGTGATGTTTTAAAAATTTCTACAGGTTAGCAGTGTAAAGTTACAGAGGAGGTCTAGTGCTAGAATTATTGCTCTTGCTCCGTCATACGTGGTTATACCTCACTTGTGTGATTTGAATACCATTTACATATGTGGGCGTGGCCTACGTATGCGTTCACCACTACGTGCGAGCATGGGGGCACTTTAAACTACATTATACTAAATTACATGCACCTAAAAAATCAAGGAATTTAGGATTACAAATCGGTCTTAAGAAATTATCTAAACGGGGCGACATCATCATAAGACTGGCAGACAAGGGTGGAGACGTAGTCCTAGCCAAAAATTATTATCTGAACGAACTACAAGCGCAACTAGCTGATCATATGACATATCAAAAATTGAACAAAGATCTGACTATCAAATATAAGAAGGAATTAGAGAAAATAGTGAAGAAAGGAGTAAAAAATAATATCCTTAATAAAAAAAGAAGCTAAATATCTTGTACCAGAAGCATGCAGAATACCAGTGATATACACTATACCAAAAATTCATAAAAATGCTGTTAATCCGCCGGGAAGACCTATTATCAATGGTATTCAATCCATTTTAGTAAGAACAGGACAATATATAGATATTCATCTACGATCTTTGGTTAAAAGTACTAAGTCCTTTCTCAGAGATACTAAACATCTGATTCAGGTATTAGAAGGATTTAAGTATGAGAATAATTTGATTTTGGTAAGTGGAGATGTGTCATCTCTGTACACGATTATAAATCATGAAGCTGCTCTTGCAGCAGTAACCTGGGGATTAAGAGAATTTAGCAACTTGACATGGAAACAACAGAAATTTATTATTGAATCTCTTGAATTTTGCCTTACACATAATTATTTTTGGCATGATAATACTTTCTTTAAGCAAATCAAAGGTGTAGCCATGGGAGCACGTTTTGCTCCCAGCATAGCTAATATATTCATGGCCCAATGGGAGGAAGAGGCTATTTATCAACATTCTCCAACAGAAACTTAGAGTTTTTAAAAGGTATATTGATGATATATTTATGATATGGGAAGGAGATGAAATAAAGTTACAGGAATTTTGACACTATTTTGTATTCAGTTTCTAGACCTGGAAATTCTAGTCAAAGATGCATGCATCCCTTGTGATAGAAATAATTAGTGACAGGTCCTCTTTATGGAGAGATATGGAGTCAGTAAGACCCCACATCTCTCCTACAATGTCAAAAAAGCATTAGATCAAAAAAAAAAGCATTGATCTAGTGCTATAAAAAAAAATGGCCTTGTTTACAAGGTGCCGGTACCGGAAGTGACATCGTTCCGGTCCTCCAAGGGCATAGAGATGAGTGGAGGCCATCTTTCCTTCACTAATCTCTATTTCCCAGCACTGGGATTGTTTGGTGGTTTATCAGGTAAGGCTGAGAAATACCAAGTGGCGGCCGGTGGCGGCAGGGGAGAGTGACGGCAAGGGGCGGCAGCGGCGAGGGGCCTGGGTTTTTTTTTGGAACCTGTATTTTTTTTTTTTCATATCAGCCGATGGCCGATAGGGGTGTTTTCAGCCGAAACGTTTTGGACACTGAAATTTCGGTTCACCCCTAAAAATTGTGAGTTATATTACCCACAAGCGCTGTTGCTTATCAATGTTAGATAAGCCATAATATCTGGTGAGTTCCACTGGATTGGGAGTGATCTGTTTGGAGCACGTGGTGTCACTGGAGTTCAATTTTGCTGATTGCTAACATTTCTGGAAGGCTTTTTTTTTCAGTCACATGGTGGTTATTTGAAAAGGAGGACTTACACACAGCTATGTGATGGACTTATATATGGAATTCACAGCACACTTTTGGTTTTCACTTCTATGACCTTGAGATTTTTACTTTTTTATTTATTTATTTGGATCATTTATGTATGTATGTTATTACACTACAGCACTTTATTTGTATTTGCGTTGCCTTAACTGGGTGTATTGATGATTCAGGTTATGTGAATATTATATATGATTTAAAGCAGCAGCATTTTTTGGAGTTTAGCACACATGGGATATGAGTTTCTAATAGTACTATACATTTAGTGATATCAGTTTTTATTTATTTTTTTTAATTTATTCACATATGTAATAGTATTATTTGAGCAGTGATCTGAAGAAAAATCCTATAGTACTGTTTTTAATTGATAGCAAAGTCAGTAAATAGCTCTTCTCCATGCATGGTTTGGGAAGGCTAGTAAGGGCAGATTCTGGTTGCTGTAGATAACTGCCTATTATTTTCTTAAATTAGCCATAGATTAATTGAAATTCAGCCGGTTCAGCAGGAACCAGCCAAATTTCGACCTATTTATGGGCAGGCTGGTTTTACTGAAGTAAATCCATCAACTTCAATACAACCAGCCCAGCCTGTCAGATATTGTTTGTACAATCACTGCTGGCAGTGATCATTGTATTTTGCTGGTGGGAAGGCACCCCCTCAGTGTTGATGGGGGAATCAAGCAATTTTCTTTCCTTCAACCTGTTGTTGAAAGAAAGAAAATTGCAAAATTTATGGCCTGGTTAAGGGCGTCTGTTAGTATTCATATAATAATTTGCATAGATACATCTAATAAATCTGTGAAGGATTTAAGAAGGGAGGTGGTATACAACCTGCTATCAGACTGGACGGAACTGATGCAACATAAACAGTAGTATAAATTCTTCTGTCAGATGAATATGGGATCTCATATTTAGTACTCTTTAGTATTGAATACTTTTCTAACAATTTGCATGCTTTTATGGTTACAGAACATAGAATAAATAGATAAGGAAAGGTCAATGTATACAGCAGTTTCAAGCAACAAGTGAAACGAGCTACACCACCCAGCAATCAATGCAGCTGTGCTATAAACAGTATGTTCACTTTTCCTTCATGTTTATTTACCTTCAATTCTTGAAAATCCTTTGCATTAACAAAGACACATTGCTCAATAAAGAGTCTGTAGACAGGCATTAGGTATACATTTTTTTAAGTGACTAGTTTTTTCAGCAGATCTGTGCATGTGAAACGTACCACGGAACCTTTAGTGTGTGTTCCTGCATGACATGCAGACGCATACCAGGATCTATAGATTACTAACAAAAGGGCTACAGTAGACTAATGCAATGCAGCTATGTCTGCATGTCAGTTCCAGAATGGATAATTGGTCCCACAGAGCCACAACCCAAAGATTTGGTTAGGCTTCATCTCTAACACCATCAAGTGCAGTAATGAAGGACCAGCAAGACCACAATTTACACAAAGACATTGATGGCCTGCGCATATCCCAGGGCTGTTCTAGCTGGGGAGTGTCAGTTGTCAGGGGTTTAAGCCAAAAACAAAGTTTTTTTGCTGTTTTACTAAACAAAAAAAAATGCACATATTTTTGCAGGGAAACAATTTGCATTGTTTTTCTTTTACTGGAGCCTGCATAGCATTGCACCCG